TCGGTCTTCCCGGTGGACCCGCGCGCACACGGGCTGACCCCGGCCCCAGCCGCCTGCGTCCTGTGCTCAACCGCGGGCAAGCCAAGAGGAGTGGCTGCTGCGCTCCCATTTTTAGAGGCGAGACAACTGAGGCTCCGCGAGAGGGTGACACCTCCAAGGTCACAGGGGAGCCTGATAGCAGAGACCGCGCTGGACTCCAGCTCTCTCTCCCCCGAGCCAGGGCTCTGGGCTGCTGCTCACTACCTTTCCCCGCGAATCGGGGAGTAGCCCAGGGCATGCTGGGCTCGGTGGCAGCCCAGAGATGGTTCCTCCGGCCCCCCTCGCCCCTTAGCGCCTCCCTGGCCAATGCACCCAGCACCCACACGCATGCACCCCCTGCAAAGGGGTAAGAGGTAGGAGATGCAGAAAGAAGTTCTGGCACCTGGAGCCCGTACCCCTGCACTTGGGCACTTGGAGGGCACACACACCTCCTCCCTCCTGCCGGGGAGACTGGCCTGTATCACAGGTGCAGGAGGAAACAGGCCCGCCTTCTCTCCATTCCCGGGACCAGTAACCAACACGCTGAAGCCCGGCCTAGAGCAGGCCCTGTGCGTCTCAGTCACGTTGATGGGGCCCAGGCACCGGCACCTGCCAGGTGGTTAAGCCAGGGCTGCAGGAACTCCCCCGGGAGCAAACCACCCAGGCCAGGGACCCAGGAGAGTCCCTGGAAGGAGCCACTGCCTGAGCTGGGTCTTGGCTGGTGAGTAGGAGCTGGTCAGATGAAGAAGGGTGTCCCAGGCTGCGGACACAGCGTCTGCAAAGGCACGAGGCGTGAGACAGCGTGGTGTGTGTGCACAGGGGACTCCATGAAGGTGGTGTTATTAGAGCAGAAAGAACATCTGTTCAGAAAGCCCTCCCTCCTGTCGTCTGAAAACAGGTGAGCGAGTCTAGGGTGGGGTGAGGAGGTCAGACAGTCCCCGGCACCCAGGAGTAGGAGGCAGACTGAGGCGCTGCACCTCAGCCCTCCACAGTTGCACTCCAGGCTGCTTGCACACTCCTACTCACCCTTCAAGGCCCCTCGCTGCAGACCCAGGCAAGTCGGTATGCTGTCTCTTCCCTCTACACTGAGCCCTCCTAGAGGCGAAGGGCCTTATGGGACATAGTGGATGTCCCCTTCGCAGGCCTGGGCGTGAAGCCGGGTCTCAGCCCAAAGTCCTGGCTGGAAGAATCGTCCCCCACCGCCCCGCCCACCTCGGGCGCTGACACAACGGCCCCTGCGCCCCCTGGCGGACCCAGCGCAACTGCAGCGAGCTCCCCAATTCAGCCGGTGCCTGCGGCTCTCCCCTGTGCCAACCCTTCAGAGGTGGGCACTGGCGGAGGCCCTGGCTTCCGCCCAAGAAACTGAGCCACGTTCCCAAGAAATACCAGGCAGCAGGCGGCAAAACGTTCTCTTCTGGTTCGGTTTGCATGACTTTCGCAGTCAGCTGCCAAAGGGCAAGTCACGCCCCTCCCTGAGCCTCTGTGTTCTCTTTTGTGAAAAGCAGCCCGGCTGCCAGCACCGTGCTGGGCTCACCCCATGGGCCTGCTTCCCCCTGGGGACCTCCAGGTCGAGCTGAATTAGCTCTGAGCTGCTTTGAGCTCCAAAACTTTCTAAGATTCTCCCTTCGGAGACTTTTTCCTCACCAGGTGAGACTTTTGAACGCTTAACTTAGCACCACCAGATCGAAGATGGGGTTGGCCTGGCTCACCGAGGGTCATGGTGGGCCACACTCTCCGGACACCCAACTGGGCTTTCTCTAGACCAGCGCTGTCCAGCAGAACTTCCCGCGATGGTGGAAATCTTACCTATCCGCCCGTTCCAATACAAGAGGCAATGACCGTATGTGGCAATGGAGCACTTGAAATTGTGACTCTTGGGATTGAGGAACTACATTTTTTATTTTATTAATTTTGATTTAAATAGCCATATGTGGCTGGTGGCAGCCATGTTGTATAGTGCAGACCCAGAAAGACAGCAACCTCCTCAAAATAAAACGCAGAGCACGCACGCGCACACACACACATGCACGCACATGCACACACGCACACACACGCACGCACACACACACATGCACGCACACACACACACACCACGAGACCCTGAGCACCCTGACAGGCCTGGGGTGGGGGCGTGAGGAGGCTGCTCGAAATCTCTAGGAGGACAGGCAAGTTGAGACAAACGTGGGCAGCGACATGTCCATCCCCCTAGTCACCGTCCGAGGGTAGGCCTTGCTGTCTTTCACCTGGACACCTGCAAAACCCCCTTAATCACCCACCTATTAAAAGCCTCCATTAACCCTGACCGATGTGGCTCAGTTGGTTGGAGCATCGTCCTGTGCACTGAAGGGTCCCAGGTTCGATTCCCGGTCAGGGCACATACCCAGGTTGCACATTCAATGCCCCATCAGGTCCAATCCCTGATCAACGTGAGTACCAGAAGCAACCGGTCAATGTTTCTCCCTCTAAAATCAATGTTTGTAAAGCCTCCAGTAGCTCCCCAGGGCCCGGAGCCAGAGCCCTGTCAGAGCCCAGGGATGCGGCATGTTTCATGACGTCAAATGTTGCACAGCAGCTGCCTAGCTGCTCCCTCTGCACACAGCCATGATCCATTAGTGATGCCTGCCTCGGGTGCAGGCTGGGGGATGGTGTACCCTCTCTGCTGGGACTAAAACCCAGAGTCCTTCACTTGCCCATACAAGGCCCTTTACAGCCAAGCCCTTGCTTACATCACCTGCCCTTTCCAGAACATGCCATGAGTCTCTCATCCCATCATCTCAACACCTGTGTGTGCCTTCAGCCTGGAAGCCTTTCCTCCTTCCCCAACTATCTACTTCCAGTCCCTTATCAGGTACTGCTCAAAGGCCACCTCCTCCGTGAAGCCTCCGCTGACCACCTCTAAGCTAAGCTGGCCCAGTTGCATCATCCACTGGCTCCCAGACCACTCTGTGCAGGCTTCATGACAGCATGCATCACATCGTATTATTATTCATGCATCACATCATATTATTATTCATGAATCACATCATATTATTGTTCATGCATCACATCGTATTCATTCTCACTCTCCACCCCTCCCTCATTCCTCACTCTATCACTGCCATGACAGTAGCCACCGTGACTCAGGGGCACATGGGGCCAGGCACTGTGCAGGGCCCTTTCACACTTTATTCTCATTAATATGTCACCAAAGTGGACCTCAGGGACAGGGCGTTGTTCTGGACACCCAGCATCTTCCCCCTTTCCACCAACACCCCAATTTTCTCCCTCTCCCCTGCCATGGACAGCCTTGGGGAATGGGAACCACCCCTGCCTCCCCCTGCCTCCAGCTGGGCTAGTTGAGTCACAGGGGGAGGGTTGATGCAGGGACAGGAAAAACAGCTAAAGCAGAACCATCCCAGAAGCCTCAGTGCCAAAACAGGCCAGTGTTTCCAGCTGCCTGCACCCCTGTCCTGAACCCCAGGCCCCCACCTGTGCTGGGATCTCCCTGCTCTGGACCTGCCTCTAATACCCCTCCCATAAGTGACCTTTTCACCCGAGGTGATCAGACGGGGCCAGGTCCAGATGACCCCACTGCCCCGGCCGCAAAACCACAAGAACTTTTCCAGATCTTCCTTTCGGCGGAGCGTAGAGAACAGAGCGGCCAGAATGAGAGAAACACGTAAACGCTTCATGCTTCATGCACTGTTTAAAGTGAATAACGAGATCTACCCTTTGTACTTAGGGGAATTATTTTCCACTGGGTCTACATGGCGCTTGGCATTGATGCTAAAAAAAAATTAGGTTAAGCGACACACACAGGAGCGGGCATGGGTGTCACATTCCTGTTTTGGATCCAGACCAAAAAGGAGGTTTTGTGCTGCGTCCAAAGCTGGGGCTGGCGCCCAGACCACTCTGCGTAGGCCTTAATGACAGCATGCATCACATCGAGGACTACAATCACTGGGGACAGGAACCAGTGGGGAGACACAGAACCCAGCCGGGGTTGGGGAGGGCAGGAAGCAGACTCCCCCCTAACTCCTCTGCCTCTTGCCTGCCCTATACTAGTGGCCAACTGTTGGTCCGCGGACCCCTGGCGGTCCGTGAGGTCCGAAAGGTTGGCGACCGCTGCCATATACCATCCTGAATGGAATATGAAGACCCAGAGATGGAGCTGCCTTCTCAGGCAGGCGGTCCTTTATCTAGGGGAGTTT